TCTCCGCGAGCAAAATTCGAAAACATAAATTATTTAATATTTTTACTTTATTATTTGTAAATCCTCGGTAATTTCAAAATTTTTCTATTTGAAAATTATTAATTTTCTATTGCCAATTAATTTTATCACAGACTTCCCATACAGCACCGATAGATTGCAAAAACATTACAACAATCTTTCACCGCAATATTGCAATATTGCAAATTCACTGCAAAATGTTGCTACATCATTGCTGTTGAATTGCAGCAATGTTAAAATGTCCGCTTTTTGGAAGATTGCAACAAAATATTACAACAACATTGCAATGTTATGAATTTGCAATAATGCATTGTTATTGCAACCATAAACTAATGTTGCATATACAGGTATATAAATGTAAATAAATCATTAATGAAAATACGTTGTAATTAATTTATATATATTACAATATATAAATTATAGAATTTGGATTACATGCAATATTTCCGAAATATTAATGTCATGTTGCTACAAGTGTGCTGGAATTTTGTGCACCTATATCTCTGCAATGTCTTTATAATGTTGCATTGCAACTTGCAACATTGCAACGTTGCTGCAATATAATTGCAATAATCTGTGCTGTATGGGTTTACTCTTACTCCCATTGCACTTTCGTTTGCGGTTTTCAGTATACGATTTTTTATCGTAGTTACTGAAAATTATTATTGTGAATTATACTTGTGCAGTGATTTGAAGAATTTACAATTTCGTTGAAATTGTTGATTTTTCAAAAAAATTACGAGATTCGCGGAAATTGCGTGCTTTCTTGGCATTTTCCGTTCGCGGCAGGCGGTTTATTTTTGATTGTTGCAAGTGTTTTTGTTTTTTTTTTTATTAAAATAGATAATAATAATGTGAAATAAATCACGATATTTGACAGATGTGCATATATATAGAAATTGTAGTAATAATAATATTATATCATAAAATTGTAAATTGTTTCAATTTTTTATAGACTGCGATAAAAGATTTTACATTTGGATAAGAAACTGCGGTAAGTAAAAATATAAAATTCTTGAAAACGTAAAAATATTTAATAACGTAAAAAGGTGAACTTTGAAAAATAAGGAACTTAAAAATTGCACTAATAAATGGGCTATATATATGTGAGCCGTGCGCGGATGTAAGGTGTGTTATATCGAAATTTAATTAATAGAATTGAGAATTAATCCCAATTTTAAGTCTTACAAATGTCCAAGCTAATTTTTTGTACCTCGTGTACATTTTTGAAAGTTATATCGAAAAATTAAATTTCAATATGTGTCTTACATCTCACATTTCGCATACAGCTCACATATAGCCTATTTATCTCTTATACTTTATTTCAACCCTTATAGAAATTTATTACTAGTAACGCCAATTTATCACTTATTTCGAGTAATTAATCACTTTTATTTCGAATACTTAAATTACTGTATATTATAGTATTTTAAATACTCAAAATAAGTGATTAATTGGCGTAGTGATAAATTTCTACAAGAGAATAAGGAGCCTTTAAATTCTTAATGTAAAAAATTTCAAGTAATTTTCTTTAATAAAATTTAATTAAAAAATTTAATTAAAAAATTTTTGAACACTGTGTTATATCACATTTAAAATCGTGATTATTTCAATAAAAAAACATTTTATGTGTAAAAAATATATTTTTTATTAAGAGTTTAACTAGGCTCTGTAATATATAAATATAAATTTAACATATATAAGATAGGCAATAAGAGCCAAATCGCGGATGACAGTGCGTTATTCTAAACGAAACTAAAATTTTTCGTTAGAATTAAATACCTGTGCACAAGGCACCAAATTTTTACTTGGACACGGCCAAGATATAAAATTGGAATAATCTCTACAAGAGATTTTTAATTCCATGTATCCCCTATTCCCCTAAAGAAATAAAGTGCGAGAGAAAAATATAGATCCGAAAGTCGCAGAATCGGGAATCGAACCCGAGACCTTTCGCTTGCCGGGCGACTGCTCTTCCAACTGAGCTATTCAGATTCTTTCGATTCTATACTTTTCTCTGTTATATATATTAATGTTGGTAAATAAACGCCTTTAAGCCAGCGTGTATAAATTAAGAGTTTAACTAGGCTCTGTAATATATAAATATAAATTTAACATATATAAGATAGGCAATAAGAGCCAAATCGCGGATGACAGTGCGTTATTCTAAACGAAACTAAAATTTTTTCGTTAGAATTAAATACCTGTGCACAAGGCACCAAATTTTTACTTGGACACGGCCAAGATATAAAATTGGAATAATCTCTACAAGAGATTTTTAATTCCATGTATCCCCTATTCCCCCTAAAGAAATAAAGTGCGAGAGAAAAATATAGATCCGAAAGTCGCAGAATCGGGAATCGAACCCGAGACCTTTCGCTTGCCGGGCGACTGCTCTTCCAACTGAGCTATTCAGATTCTTTCGATTCTATACTTTTCTCTGTTATATATATTAATGTTGGTAAATAAACGCCTTTAAGCCAGCGTGTATAAATTAAGAGTTTAACTAGGCTCTGTAATATATAAATATAAATTTAACATATATAAGATAGGCAATAAGAGCCAAATCGCGGATGACAGTGCGTTATTCTAAACGAAACTAAAATTTTTTCGTTAGAATTAAATACCTGTGCACAAGGCACCAAATTTTTACTTGGACACGGCCAAGATATAAAATTGGAATAATCTCTACAAGAGATTTTTAATTCCATGTATCCCCTATTCCCCCTAAAGAAATAAAGTGCGAGAGAAAAATATAGATCCGAAAGTCGCAGAATCGGGAATCGAACCCGAGACCTTTCGCTTGCCGGGCGACTGCTCTTCCAACTGAGCTATTCAGATTCTTTCGATTCTATACTTTTCTCTGTTATATATATTAATGTTGGTAAATAAACGCCTTTAAGCCAGCGTGTATAAATTAAGAGTTTAACTAGGCTCTGTAATATATAAATATAAATTTAACATATATAAGATAGGCAATAAGAGCCAAATCGCGGATGACAGTGCGTTATTCTAAACGAAACTAAAATTTTTTCGTTAGAATTAAATACCTGTGCACAAGGCACCAAATTTTTACTTGGACACGGCCAAGATATAAAATTGGAATAATCTCTACAAGAGATTTTTAATTCCATGTATCCCCTATTCCCCCTAAAGAAATAAAGTGCGAGAGAAAAATATAGATCCGAAAGTCGCAGAATCGGGAATCGAACCCGAGACCTTTCGCTTGCCGGGCGACTGCTCTTCCAACTGAGCTATTCAGATTCTTTCGATTCTATACTTTTCTCTGTTATATATATTAATGTTGGTAAATAAACGCCTTTAAGCCAGCGTGTATAAATTAAGAGTTTAACTAGGCTCTGTAATATATAAATATAAATTTAACATATATAAGATAGGCAATAAGAGCCAAATCGCGGATGACAGTGCGTTATTCTAAACGAAACTAAAATTTTTTCGTTAGAATTAAATACCTGTGCACAAGGCACCAAATTTTTACTTGGACACGGCCAAGATATAAAATTGGAATAATCTCTACAAGAGATTTTTAATTCCATGTATCCCCTATTCCCCCTAAAGAAATAAAGTGCGAGAGAAAAATATAGATCCGAAAGTCGCAGAATCGGGAATCGAACCCGAGACCTTTCGCTTGCCGGGCGACTGCTCTTCCAACTGAGCTATTCAGATTCTTTCGATTCTATACTTTTCTCTGTTATATATATTAATGTTGGTAAATAAACGCCTTTAAGCCAGCGTGTATAAATTAAGAGTTTAACTAGGCTCTGTAATATATAAATATAAATTTAACATATATAAGATAGGCAATAAGAGCCAAATCGCGGATGACAGTGCGTTATTCTAAACGAAACTAAAATTTTTTCGTTAGAATTAAATACCTGTGCACAAGGCACCAAATTTTTACTTGGACACGGCCAAGATATAAAATTGGAATAATCTCTACAAGAGATTTTTAATTCCATGTATCCCCTATTCCCCCTAAAGAAATAAAGTGCGAGAGAAAAATATAGATCCGAAAGTCGCAGAATCGGGAATCGAACCCGAGACCTTTCGCTTGCCGGGCGACTGCTCTTCCAACTGAGCTATTCAGATTCTTTCGATTCTATACTTTTCTCTGTTATATATATTAATGTTGGTAAATAAACGCCTTTAAGCCAGCGTGTATAAATTAAGAGTTTAACTAGGCTCTGTAATATATAAATATAAATTTAACATATATAAGATAGGCAATAAGAGCCAAATCGCGGATGACAGTGCGTTATTCTAAACGAAACTAAAATTTTTTCGTTAGAATTAAATACCTGTGCACAAGGCACCAAATTTTTACTTGGACACGGCCAAGATATAAAATTGGAATAATCTCTACAAGAGATTTTTAATTCCATGTATCCCCTATTCCCCCTAAAGAAATAAAGTGCGAGAGAAAAATATAGATCCGAAAGTCGCAGAATCGGGAATCGAACCCGTGTCCAAGTAAAAATTTGGTGCCTTGTGCACAGGTATTTAATTCTAACGAAAAAATTTTAGTTTCGTTTAGAATAACGCACTGTCATCCGCGATTTGGCTCTTATTGCCTATCTTATATATGTTAAATTTATATTTATATTTTTTATATTTAATAAATTTTATATATATATATGCATATATGTAAAATATTCTCTCTCTCTCTCTCTCTCTCTCTCTCACACACACACACACACACAACGGGGGCCAAATCTCTCAAATTGGTCTCATGATCAATTAGCCTGGATTCGCACCAGGGGCAAAGTCTGTTGGTAATGTCAAACGAATTTAGCCTGGACTTGCACCAGGGGCAAAGTCTTTTGGTCGAGTCTACGAAATTTAGCACGGACTCGAACCAGGGGCAAAGTCTTTTGGTTCAAGTCTACGAAATTTAGCACGGACTCGAACCAGGGGCAAAGTGTGTCGGTAAGGGGCAAAGTCTATCGCACGAAGATGGCGGTCTCTTCTTTAGGCAGGCCTTTGGCGATCTGTCTATTAATCTGTGGTAAAGGGAACGTGCATATGTGTGTAGAATTCTTAAATATATATGCAATTGAAGCGTAAAGATATATAATTTTTTAATCAATATATTACACCAAAATATCATAGTAACACAGTAGAAGATAAATATGAATAGAGATTGCGCGAATATATCTTGTGCGATATATATTTGTGTACACACACATACATACATGTACGCACACAATCACATCAAAAGATCAATATCAGTATGGCGGCGAGAAAGGAGCGGCTTCGCGCCGTGTGATCGTGACGATTAAAAACATAAGAGAAAAAAAAGGAAAATGACAGCCCACTTTTCTTTTCACCGGTGGACGACGCGACAAAGGTGTACTTTCACGAGGTGTCTTTATCGAACGGCGATCAAGTACCGAGGATCACGTTAATGTCAAACGGGTGGTTTGACGTTTGACAGTAGAGCAGCTGGAGATTTGACAGCGGGAGACCTATCGAGAGACAACTACGTACTTCGCAAGACTACAGAGATTAACGATCACCATGGCGAAGTACGATTGCTTAATTGCCGGCTTATCTAATTAGAGTAAACTTATATATAACACACACACACTTTGATAAAACATGCAACAGTTTTGTATGATAAACGCTATGTTTATGCTTTTCTCCGACTCAGCATGCAACTGCGTATAATGATTCTCCTTGAATCTTGGCGAAAGAGAATGTTTTGTAGACACAATTATATCTTGATAAAGCTACCACTGGAACATACTTCTACAGTGGACGAGCTCAGACTCTTGCTTCGCAAGCTACTGATTTGCCGAGCAATCATATTTCACGACATATACGCCACTTGTAGTTTAATCTTATCTGTCCCGATACATTACATCGGTTACTGATACTGCCTAAATACGGCGATTATTCGCTTATATATGATTCACTCAGTCATGCGCCAAAACTGAAACGTTTCGTAGAACTCTGCAAAATCTTTGCATTATGCAGAATAATTTTGTTACAATGAAAGACTTTAAGATACATTTGCAATTGCTGCCAAAATATTTAGATAGATTAAGCTTGGAGAAACTTTGTCACAAATTTTGTAATCAGGAACAGAAAGTAAGCTAGTCTTTCTCTGAAAGTTACATAATAATCTAATTCATAAAAGCTTCTTACTTGCTCTATGAAAAGTCTTATTATTTATATAATATTTATAAATTTATCATCTATATTTTATTTTACATTGAAACAACGATAATGTTTGTCATAGAATTCAAAATAATCTCTTTGTTGTCAGAGAGATGATGATAGTATTTATTTACGACACTGCAAAGTGTTGTAAAGAGGAGGATGACCCTGCCGAAGCAGTCATGTATTTTCATCCGGCTTGGGTATCTCTCACGCAAAGACTGGCTCTGGCAGGGCAGTTGATGGGTGTATATCACTTCCTGGCAACATCGTTCTCAGCACCACGTTCTATTACATTGCAAGGTGGAAAGTTTGTGTTGAAGAAATTTGGGCAGTATGTACTGGTGAGTTCATATTGCTATAGTATTTCAAGTTGCTGTTGCAAAATCTTCATTATATTTTAATAAATTGTCTGTGTTGGTTTATTCTAGGCAGTAGGGACTGATAGAAACATACATGATTGGATACTTGAAAGACGTGCTGACACTCTGGAATCATTATTGAAATTCTTCCATTGTGATCTTGTAAAGGTGCTGGAATCCCTCAACAGTGATCGCAATAGATTTACCGAAAAATTGTATCAGATGTTTGAGACTTATCTGCCAATTCTTCAACACAGTGCCAATCTATTTTCCAGCATTCCTGTCATTAAACTTCCAAAAGTTAGTATAGACAATATAAAATAGATGATATTGAATACAAAAGTGAATATAAAAATGTGAACATTATTCTTATATACATTTTGTTTCTCGTAGAGTGCCACTAATATATTTTTGGAAGGGATGCAAATGCTGCAGCATTATCAAGAGATAAATGGCATTTTAGGAGGAGCATTATTCTACAATAACAAGTAATGAAACAAATATTTACAAGTAAAATTGCATAGATATTGTTTAAAAATTTTAATAATTATTATATATTTATAATATTGCTATTTGTTAATTAATTGTTTTTAATTTATTTTATTCTTATTTTCTTTCAGGATAGTCTCAACACAGCTGGGAGCGGATTTAACGAAACAAATTGTCATAACTGATCCTTATAGGATAAAGGTATTTTCCATTATTAGTTAGATTTATCTAAATGTAAATGTGTGGTGTGTAATTGATCGAATAGAATATAAATGATTCTGTGTAGATCAATTTTTATCATTAGCGAAATTTATCACTTGTGTTTGCAAGAAACTTTTAATTCATCAAATTTTTAAAGGCTCCTACAGAGAGGATATCCACAGAATTTCATTTGCCGATTGGTGTTCAATTATTACAAGTGTACATAGAGCGGAAAGAGTTTGCGAAACTGATGCAAGAGGCGAATAACGAGCGATATTACAATTCGTGTCTCGATTCCGCAATTAAGAAGACATTGCAGAGAAAGGTAGATAGATGTAAATGCATAAAATTTAATTAGATGCCATAGTTTTTCGTTTAAAATGATGTAATCGACACTGTATTAATATTTAATTCTGAACTTTCAGAACGTATCAAAGAGCGGCGTCAAGGAGCCGCCCACCATGTCCGCCATGAAACGGGATACCTCGCGAATATTCACCGTCCCCGAGGAAGGCGAACTGGATTCTACAATTTACCCGCCGCCATCGCAATATGTGTCATCGGTACCACTTGCGATCAATCATGACTCGCCGATTAGACGCAAGCAAGAGGTCAAGCCAGAGCGTCCCAAAATTAGCGGTACCATCGTCAATCCGCTCACGCCCAGCGTCTGCGCGACGCCTTTGAAGGACATAGACCGAATATTGCACGGAAACGCCATGCTCATTTGCTCGTCTGAAAGCGGTGGCGAGAACGACGAACATCGAAGCTCGTCGAAAAGCAACGACGACGATGATATTCCCGACGTCGTCAAAGAAGCGCTCAGGTATAGTTTAAGTCATCTCTAGAAACGTTTGGAAAGTTTCAAAAAATGTTTAATGTTAAATAGTAATTCAATTTTGATCGTATGAAAGGTGCAAACGTCTGAACAAACTGAGAAACGCTACTTCAAAGAAAAAGCCGATGAAAAGAAAGGATCCCGACCGGAAGAGTGTGAGCCTGCCAGACCTGACGTCATCAGTTAAGCCGCGCTTGAACGGTATTCCTAGAACCTATCGACCGGAGCTAGACAAAATGTAATTGAATAATAATCCGAATATTATTATGTATAACTTTTATATAACTTATTTTCTTCTATTAATTATTCTTCTGTTATTAAATTCTATTATAACAGCGAAACTTCACCTGACGACCGCGATCCGAATTCATCTCGGCGGAAGCTCAGCGGAAACGATAAACGATACTCGCGCACCATCACCGATCCCTGTTACCCCGTCTTCCGATGCGACGGTTTTCCGGTCTCGCAGTCGTTATATGAACAACACATTGCTTCGCACTGCGAGGAGCTGCGCGATGATGGTAACAGCAGCGGCATTCATGGAAGTTGCAACAACGATGACAATCTGCAATCGAAGAACCTATCGAGCGACTTGACGAGTGCGAAATTGTCAATAAATAGCAGCTCAAGTTCGATCTCGAAAGATGCTGGCGAAGGTACTTGATTTCAATTGTATTCTAAAGACCAAGTATTTTGAAGAAACCTAAAAATATAAAAAAAAACTATGTTAAGTAGAAAAATCTTCAATGTGTTTCAAATTTTTAGAAAATACCAATCCTGGCTACGACAAGAGCAAACAGGAGACGTACAAGAGATCGATGAGCCTACCGCTGAAACCGCTTAACATTGTCTCTGAAGTGCAAGACGGCGACGATAGACGAAGGTCGACGTCGGAATGTGGCGGTAGCTCGTTCGATTTCCCGCAGAGGCGAAAGCTGGATGGTCTACAGCTAACACCGCTGATGTCGAAACTGAGCCTGTTGGCCGACGAACGAACCAGTGGCTTTTGCAGCCGCGATACTACGCCGAGCGAATTTCGCGATCTCTCCGGATTCTCTGGCGGTGCAGCCATCAATGCAGCAACGACGATGACGATGACGACGTCGATGAATCAGCTGATAAGACAGAAGCTGGAATCGGTTGAGAAGGAAGTCAGCGATGGTGAAGACGAGCTGGAGGAGGACTGGGTCAACAAGGATGATCCCGCCGCCTGCCTCGAGAAGACCGAGCTGTTTCTTTGCGGCTATCAAAATATGGTGTTGGTGCTGCTAATGGAAAATGGTACCGCGAACAATCCAGATTTAATACACGCTCTGGTAAGTGTGAAAATTGCACGTATTGCGAAATTAGATTTAGGAATGAAAAATCTATAGTAGAAGCAAAAGCTTTATAATAAAAAGGAAAAAATAATATGAAACTAACGGGCTTCAAGTGTTCTCTCTTAGTCATGTCGATATTATACATACAAAGATGTGACTGTAAGAATAATAATAAATCATATAGTGGCATACTTGCGTGAGCACGTTGGGTAAACTCGAGTTGCGGCTGCAGCAATGTTTGGAACCATTGCCGTCGACAGAAAACAAGGAACTATACAGTATTTTAAACATTGACCCGCAATGGGACACCGTGCAACGTTACGGACTCTGGGGCGTTACCGAGTTGGACATCGTGTCTTGCCTCCACGACAGATTTACGCAAGCGAGCAATTTGACGGATATCATTGTCAGGTAATTATTTATAGCGTCAATTCTTCGCGAATAAAAAAAAGGATCGAATTTAATTACATTTTTATTTTACATTATTTAATTTATATTAGATTTTCAAAACTTATATTTGATCTCTTTTCGAGTTCATGAATCAGTTCTAATTTTATATTTTATGTTCTTGTAAAATAAATGTTTTCTAATAAGACTTTATGAAATATTTGTTAATTTTTTCACAATAATAAATTTATAAATTTAAAATTAAAAAACTTGTGATCACAGAGGAAGATCATAAATCTAATTAAGAAACGCTTCGTAATTAAGAAAAAAATCTTTTAAACAGAACGGAGGATACGGTGGTTTACGGTAACCAGTGTGGAGGAGTAGAAGTGTTTTATCAACAAGCTGTGGCACCGGGTGCTTTTGCGGTTCTTCCAACCCCGGCGGATCTCATGGGGATCGTAGCACTCAAGGCGAAGCGTCGATTAGAAAGAGATCACGGGATTGTGTTACTGTAAATCCAGAAACGTACGTCGCTTCCCATTTTCAGAAAAAGTAAGAAAAATAACACATAGATATATAAACATACACACATACGCGTTTACAATTTCGCTTATTTATCCTCGGCAGAGAAAATAAATTCAAATCCAGTTCGTATTCTGTACAAAGAAAGCAAAATGGAAATTATTCCGTCAGTTAAATCGAGATAAGATAATTTTAACAGGATATGCTGAACATTTTTCTACGGGTATTTTTGTAATCTGTGATTCTCCACCGTGCCGAGTGTGTAATTTCGAGAAAATTGGCTCTGAGAAAGAGGGAATAATCGAATAGGTTTTTTTATATATCGCTGCAATGTGTACTTATAGTATTCCTATCACATCACGAATCGAGAAATTTTCTATGATAATAATAACTGTCGACTTTATCCGATTTGTATTTTACCATCTCGTAATTGTATAGATATCATATTGAACGTTATTTGTATTATATATGTTGTTGTATATAAGATGTCTTAGAATCGACGGAAAGTAGACGCACAGCGTTATCAAATTAAAACTGTGGCGAGAGGCACTTTTTAATACTTTTTTTTTATCAACGAATGTGTATTCTGGGGCATTTCAATAGCTATATAAATTATTAAAAAGCAAAAATTTCTAGAAAATTATAAACTAAAGAGTCTTAGAAATAAAGATAAGTAATATTATAATATTAAATAATTCCATTTTTGCGAAATTTTACTACGCAACAAATAATGCTTCATTGTCCATCAATTCTCAAACATCTTATATCTAATTGATTCATTGTACATATCCGTATGCATTAAGTTATTTGCATTTTATTCGATAAGCGTCCAGTTTTCGTAAAGTAAAAATATAGTTGAAAATATATTCGCGAAAGAAAAAAAGACGGAGATCAGTATTCAGTTAATAGTTAATACGTTGCGCGTCCAGTATTTATAGTCGTTCGAATTGCTTTTATAGATAGAAACAAAATAATAGTGATATTTATAAGACTCGTCAGAATCGTCTGAGTTGGCATTGTCAATTGTAATTTAAGAATATTTTATGCATTTTTTTGCGTCATTGACGTCTCAATGTTCCGTTTTCGTCTCATATTTGAATAAAAATGTCGATGATCTCGCGCAAGAATCATTCGCAAAACGAGTTTTGGCAACGAGACGCGAATAATGCGCTATGTCCAAATTTTTATATAGTAATTTAAACGTTATGTTAATATATTGCATTTTTAGCGAGCAAAGTTGAATCGCATTGCGTCATCGCACGCATTCCACGATGATCTTTTCTCTTATATTTTATAGTTTTCCTTGTCAGTCCTTTGTTTGAAAGGAAAACTATAATAAAGATTCATCGTTTTTGAAGTCTCTTTCTTGAACTTATTTTCCAGCGCATTCTATGATCCTTCGTACAGTAATATTATTAGTTTGAAATTATTAATTTGTTACTAAAATTATATTGAAAGCCAGTGACGTAATCATTGGAAGGGCTGTCAGGTTTCAGTCTCTCCTTCCCACCGAAGTCTAACCGACTAAGTTGTCAGCACTTTCGCAAAAGAAGCGCTTATACAGCACTGTTTTATTAAGTAAATAAAATTATAGTTGCTTAATGTTAAATATGAATTTGTTTTAATGTAATCGTTCATCCAGAATTTCAGTCTCCCGAAACAAAATCCTAAATATCTCTGTTGATAGTTCTATATTAACATATTCAATTTATAATTTCAAATTATAAATGTAATGAAAATTACATAAAAAAATATATAATAAGATATAATTGCATATACAATGTAATGCATAACTACAAAAACAAAATTTGAAAAAAATGATAGAATTACCATTTATAATTAAAACTAAAACTTTCTTCATATATAATTAAAATTGTTTTATATTCTTTGTTTAAAATTTAATGTATGTAATATTAATCGCAAAGTTTATAATGAATATATCTGGCATAAGCACTATATGTAATCATCGCGCTAATATAATCATCTCAGTGAAGCGTATAACGTAAACAGCAAATATATATTTCTAATGTAGTACAAATGCATAAATGCATTAGAAGGTGTGTACACGGAAAAACTGCATTCTAACGCCAGACGGCATAAATATGTTTGTGATGTGGAAAGAGATATTACGTGAAAAAATATTTTAATATGCTGAAAGTGATTAACTATAAAATTTGAATTTTTTTCAAATTTTTCAAAGCAGTCGATATAGAAAAATTGGGGAAAAATAACATATTCTTATATTTTCAAAAAATGTATAAGAAAACTATACTTTCTTTAACTATACTTTCTTTCTATTTATATATCCAATCGTTTAAAATTATAGTGTAACGTTGAAATTTCATGTTTCTCTTTTCCACAAATTTACTGTAATTTAAACAATTATTGTACTAAAATTGAGATATATTTTTGCGAGAAGCTTATATTACCGTGAGGTAATACTTGATTAGTCGAAAAATAATAATCTTATAAATAACATTTCGTAAAATTTCTTTATACATATGCAATCCTATTAAACTTTCACAAAGAGTTTGTTTACATGCTAGGACTCTTAATAAGAAAACTATGCTGAACATCATTAGGAAGGCGAGCCCACTCGGCGCACGAATGCCATTCGAGTTGTGTCGCAACTTAACGACACACCCAATTAAAAAAAACTACTATCGTCACGACTCTAATTTATGGACCGCAAAGAACGAGACGCAAACAAGCCCCCATCATGAACCAATCGCGTGATTACGCGGGTTCTACCGATCACAGGTTGATATTTAAAGCCGAACTCGATACGCAGATCGCGATAATCGCTGTCATCATCAGGAGATTTCTTTTATCGTTTTCCTCGATTTTAATAAAATACTATGGTAAGATCAAGGAATGTCCGCTCATCTGAAAGTTTTTTTATATAAATTTTAAATTAAAGATAAATTATTGATTTTACTTAAATTGTGATTAGATAAAATATACAATTGATTATTTAATATAAAATGTAAAAAATTGTACAACAATTGTATATTTATACGAAGGTGGACATTCCTCTTCTATTCTATGATATATAATATTCTATAATCCTACTTTATGCTTTAAAGAAAAAAATTATAATTGTTATATTTAGTTCTTAAAAAAGTAATTTGTTAAATATTTATATGTATGCATCTCGAAAAGTAAATTCCTTGTGTTTGTTTTCAGACCAGTTACATTGATAAAGGACCTCAGGTAAGCGTCATCCTTTACGACAATTTAGTCTCCCTTCGTTTGGAATTTCTATTTAATATATGACATATATGATGCTTGCATTTTTCAGCCCGTTGGAGGAAAATTCCTCAGCTTCGACCACATAAGATTCTGGGTCGGAAATGCAAAGCAGGTAGATTTTCATAGGATATTTTCTATAAGATATCTTTTAATATGTATGAAAAGTATATGAGCTAGGAATAAAGATTCCTGACCCGAAAATGTAACAAAAATTTATATAAGCGTACGTTCAATTAAATTTTTTTCCAAATTACGACTCTTTTTGAATTTCATCGCAATATCATATTAGACATACAAATGTTTTTACGGAGTTTTTCTTATTGTTTCCTTCCCTTTAAACTATCTCTATATTTCTTACATATAAAGAAACTGAAAAATCTTGTATAAAATAAATTATAATAATCACTTATATACGTACACGTGAAAATAAAACAATTGCTTGCAGGCTGCCAGTTTCTATCGATGCAGGATGGGATTCGAACCATTGGGATATCGTGGCTTGGAAACTGGATCCAGACAAACAGCTACGCACGTCGTGAAACAGAACAAAGTGAGTAACTTTAAATGCAAACAAAGAAATAGAACATATTAATATTTAACAAGTTTACCTTAATTTAAAAATTAATAATTTATTTAAGAAACAAGTGTTTCGAAACGTTGATCTTGCATAATCTTTTCTAATGACCCAATTCGTAGATCATATTCGTGTTCGAGTCTCCGTACGAGCCTGACGATGGAGAAATATCGAAACATCTCTCTCGACACGGGGACGGCGTCCGGGATGTAGCATTCAGCGTCGAAGACATCCATACAATCGTGCAGGTAAAAGATTAAAATAAAGTTTCTTCCACATGAGCAGAATTTTCATATGTAAAAGACTTCTTTCTGGAATTAGGAAAAATAGAGATTAAATAAAAAAAATATTTTAATCCTTTCTAGCAAACAAAATTATAATCATTTTTTCATTTTTAACAAACTTTAACACACACATACACTTTCTCTTATCTTTCTTTTAATTTCAATTAATTAATATTGTGTAGGTAGCCAAAGAAAAAGGCGCCAAAATAGTGCGTAATATATGGGAGGAAAGTGATGAATTCGGCACTGTGAGGATGGCTACCGTTAAAACCGTAAGTATTAAAAAATATTCATTTGAAAATACTTTTCTGTTACGTAGAATCATATCAGATGTCCTCTAGATGTTCATGAATTAAATTGGTCATTTTCATCATAGTACGGCGACACGCTCCACACGCTCATTGACAGGACAAAGTATAAGGGTTTCTTTCTGCCAGGCTTTGTAAAGGCACCGGAAGATGTTCTTCTCAAACATTTGTACGTATGCAAAATCGCCAAATCTCACATAGAAATCAAACTAGGATTCCTTTCTATTCCTTCCTGTAAAAGATTCAATAACATTTTAATAGTAATATACTTTACAAAACAAAATTTTAAAGAATATCCTTTATTATATATTCTAAGATATTTGTGACATATCCTCAAAGCACTCTTTACAAACATAACAGATTTGTAGAACACGATGAAAACAGCTTTCATTATAAATCTAACTTGTTTTTCTCTATACATATATCGACATACTTCTGTCAAATAATTATAGGCCACAGACACATTTGAATTTTGTGGACCACGTGGTGGGTAATCAGCCCGACAAACAGATGGAATCCATTGCGAAATGGTATGCAAATGTATCTACTCTTGAATGTGTAAACACATTTATGCTAACGAGAAGTCATAACTCAGCGCATATTTTTTTTATTTTAAATAATATTGATAATTAATAGCAACGTTTGTGTTATGCAAATAAGTTTATCAATAAAATTAATTAAATATTAAAATATTAACGTAACGAACTAGTATACATGATAAAATATATAAAATTTGTGGTAAAATTCGTTAGATATTATTTAAATTAAATCAAATCGTTTTAAAACCTTAAAAAAATATATTTTCTTCAGCTAAACATAAAATACCAAATTAAATTAAGATTATTTCTTTGTCTTTTAGGTACGAGGAGTGTTTGCAGTTTCACAGATTCTGGTCAGTTGATGATACACAGTTGCATACGGAATATTCCGCACTACGATCCATCGTGATGACGAATTGGGAAGAGACGGTGAAGATGCCGATCAACGAGCCCGCATCCGGAAAGAAACGTTCCCAGATCCAAGAGTACGTCGAGTACTACGGTGGTGCTGGTGTACAACACATAGCTCTCAACACAAGCAACATTATTACAGCGGTAAAAAATTGAACATTCTAAAAGGAACTCACATTTTGTACATAACACATAACTAAGATGAAATTGTGCAATAAGTACTACGTTCCAATATACACTGCCAGTATAGAAAATCTCGAAAACATATGCAACGTAAGCTATAGATACAATAGTATTGGCAAGTGTATATCAGAATATTATAGCCATATATATATAAGCAAGTTTATAAAAGTCCATCTTTTTATTACAGCTAAATTATATTATTATACACTACTACGTTTTGCAATTAGCAATTATATTAATTTTATAATAATATATAGTTTTTATTAATAATAATAAATTTTTACGAATAATTAATTTTTTCACTGAATAAATTTACTAAATTAAGATATTTTCTTAAAAAATACTTCGCCTACACAGTTTATCGTTTCATTTTGCAGATAACAAATCTGCGTGCCAGAGGAATGGAGTTTCTTAACGTGCCCGACAGTTATTACGAAATGCTCAGAAACCGCCTAAAAGCCAGTGGCACGAAAATCGTGGAAGACTTGGATATATTGCAGGTACCTTTATTAATAGCGGACTGAAACTCTAATACATTAAATCGCTACGTATACTACTAATTTCATTGCACGTATTGTGTAGAAATTGAAGATATTAATAGACTACGACGAGAACGGCTATCTTCTACAAATATTTACGAAAAATATGCAAGACCGGCCGACGCTGTTCATAGAAGTTATACAGAGGCGCAATCATAATGTATGTATCGAGAAAAATTTGTAAAGCATATTTTGTCTCTTAAATTAATCTAATATTTTATGTCTAAATTTGTAAAATTTTTCATATATTAATATTTAAATTTGGAAAAAACTCGTTAATATCTAAATAATTGAAAATTTATTGTATTATTTCCTCATTTCAGGGTTTTGGCGCTGGCAATTTCCAAGCATTGTTCGAAGCAATCGAATTGGAGCAGGCAAAACGTGGAAATTTATAGATTATTAACATTATTAATATATATTTGTAAAATTAATAATATATAAAACTTTTATTTTTCTATTTCTCTATCTCAGCAAGTAATACTAACAAAAGGCAAAAAATGAGTATTTTCGGTACTTAATTATATAGCTACTCTTATAATTTTCTATAATGAAATATCACATTAAAAACATTATGCTACTTCTCCGCTTCAAAATTCATTCGGCACGGTCATACCTAAATATCCTGCCGCGTATTATTAATCAATAATAAATTTATGCACATCATAATAGTGCTGTGTGTTTGGTCGCTATCGACAAAAATGTCAAGGTTTTACTTTTTCGCGTCTGTGGAATAGATAATCAATTTGTCCGATTAATTCCGTATTCTTGTATATTTAATGGCCAACATTTTTGTATTACAAAAATACACAGCATTAAATGTAAAATATGTTACAATACATTTTGAAGCGTAGTGATGCAAATATATTACCTGCCGTCAAAAATCAAACTCTCCCGATCGATGAAACATCTATGTGTGTATGTACTGTATGTATATATGTACTGTATGTATGCGTGTTGTGCTACGTAATTAAGAAATGTAGATTTGTTTTTTCGAGACAACGTACTTATATGTACGAAGAAAAGCGACGCAACTACTTAAACTGTTATCTTGTGATGTTTTCCGATTTTTTTCTGTTTTTTTTGTGGCCAAGATATATGCGGAAAGATACTCTTCATATAAAACTCGTGATATTATCTAGAAAGAATGGGGATAGATCTGTGATCGTGATGAGAGAGGGTTATCGATGAGATTAGGTGGCTCACTTATTAGCTCGCGATCTCCAGGGTCTCCGTCGCTCGGCAACCCGTCTGTCGATCACACACTTGTCGCGGAAACCAGCCCGATCATCCTCGTTCATGCCGAATCATGAATGCCAAGGCGAAAGATATCGTGCTGACAATAGTATGAGTTTCCCATCGGCTTCAACACAAAACACTGTGAGAAGGCATGCGGTGGGTCCTCGTCTGCCTATAATTAAAAACGTAAGTTATATTTTATATAATGATAGATATAGCAGAACATATGATGATAAAATAACATTAATGTTAAAGATGCTGATTAGATGTTTCACAGTAATATAAAATACAATTCGATGAGTTGAGGATGTAAAAATGACAAACATTAATCTGTAAATCATTGCAGTCCAGCCATTATTCCAATTCGTTCGGCAATTTAATCTTCTACTATGTTAAGTCACTTGCTAACACAATTATCAATTATTCTCTCTCTCTCTCTCTATACACTTTTTAAAACATACAAAATATAACAAAATTATCTTGTGTTATCTTATAAGGGAATTTTAGATTAAATAATGCAAATCTCCTTTAATTAAAAAATGTTGATTGAAATAAATGGTGGAAAATGTCTCTCTCTACTTAAGAATAAAAATATCAAAAAATTGCAATAAAAAAATTAAATTGCAAAAAATGTAAAAAAACTACTTTAGATTATTACAATTAATAGTCGTATTGTAATTATAATGCAAATTTTGATTAATGTGTAAGGATATTTTGTAGACATGATTGCAGCTGCGTGCTATCCCAAACTCAAATAAAAGTAATGTACAAGTAACGTACGAAATTGTGTAAATAATGAAAAAGTTGGTGAACAGGATACACATCTTAACATTCGCAACAGCAGCCAATTCATGTTGTATATAATGCGGAAAAGCGATCTCTGCAAGATGCTTGTGATTGGAAATATTGGACAAAGCTTGCTTCTCAATGCAGAGCATGGAAGGGGGATTTTGCGATACCTGATGCCTAAACTGTGTCATGCAATGCGAGTCTGAAGATGTCGTGCTGCACATAAAAGCTGGTACCAATTGGCTTCAGGACAAATGTCTGGATGTACGCGTGGGGCTGATCTTCATCAGTCTGCCCGATCACCAACAATAATCACTAAATATTCTCTTTACAATTTAAAATAACTTATAGACCTCATGTTTTGTTTAACATTCCTTTGTAATCTGTATTTAATATTTATCTATAAATTGCATTAACAATCACTGTTTCTCATAGAAGAAAATTCTACAATATCATATGTGATATATACATATACTTTCTTTTTTGTTAAAATTATATTGACAGATATTAAATATTAAAAATTGAAAACGTGCGTAAATTAAATTACTGAACTGATTGGTTTAGACACAGATATCATATGTGTGCAAATATACAAGATTCAAATAGGACTTTTTGCAATATTTAATACTATATCCATTGCACAATTAACTTTCTGGATTGCATATACTTTGTTTCGCATCTCTTGTACTAGAGACAACTCTTAATAAGGAACCAAAGAATGTTTGCGATTATAATTCTTTTCTTACCTGCAACCTTCCTAATACATTAATAAGAACTCCGCCATCAAACATGGGTTGCGAATCAATTGCTGTTATTATCCGATTTATTTTTTGAAAGGATAAACTCTGGAAAACAAGAGAAAAAGTTAATATGTGCTAGGATAATTAAGTCATTGTATAAATTTTACATAAAATAAAAATAAAGGGATAAAAGAACTCTGCAATCAAAGCGAAGGGATCGAAAGCAATGTATAAATGCAGACGCAAGATTACAAAGTCTAAAGTATAAAATTACAAGTACATTTTCAGCTTTGCATCTATATTCTCTATCTAGTTTTAATTTAGCAAACTTTCAAAAATCTTAATATTTTTACTATTCAAAACTATGTAATCTCTATTTACAAATAAATCAATTACAAGGACAGGCTGATTCTCCTACAAAAAAATTCAGCAACTAATCTGTGCCTGAAGCAATAAGTGATAAAGACCAAGGAAGAGAGGGAGGGGGGAGGAAAAGGCGGGGAACACTATATAGATACACACATATATATATATATATATATATAATTGCAAAAAATTAGAAAATTCTCTCGACGTAAGAGCGAGCTCATTTACTCACAGTTAACTTCTCCATAATTTTGATAGCGCCCTGTATCTGCAAGCCTTCGAACGTCATGAAAGACGTCTCCGTCTGCAAAAAGGTTATGTCAGTCGGACCGAATCAAAGCGAGAGAGAGATACGTGTAAAGTCGAAGTCGAGCGCTTTAGGGTGGGAACGAAAACGACAGCCCTTACGTTGTACATGTTTATGAGGTTCGGCCTCTGCGCCGGGTCGTCGAAGAGCGCGTAATATTGCTGGACGAAGCCCTTGCCGATCGCCTCGTACGGCACGTTCATCGCCATGGTCGCACCAGTGACGGGAAAAGGAAACGTCAAAGAAACGTCAAAGAAACGTCAAGCGCGGCCCCTGAGTCTTCCTCGTTCTCTCCTTCTTTCCTGAGTTACTCCGCGACACCTGAGTCCCACCGACTCCGAGCCGAGATCCTACGACCGTGAAACAGCGCCGTGCAACATCCCTCGTGTCGAGGCAGGAAGCCACACTCGCGCCCCTGCGATATATCGAAGAGGCCGCGCACGCTTCTCGAAGGTAAGAGCTCAATTGCGCGTTGTAAATTGCTTAGCGTCCGATCGCGCTTTGTACTTCATCCCTTCTTGTCTCGCAACGAGAAAATGCGATCTTCCATGTCGAGAAATTCCATGGAATATTTTAGGTTGCTGTTATAACCTTACTGAATTGAATTCTATCGATAGGTTGCAAGTGCGATATCGATATAAATTTAGAATGTTATTTCGATGCAGTTGCGCTTTCTTTGTGAGACAAATCTATATGTTTAGCACATCGCAACGATATTGCATTTTGTTATTTTGATGGAGGCTTATGTATAAAAGTATTTTTATTTCTTTTTATTTTTCTTCTTTATTGCACTTATTTGTATATTTTGGGAAAATTTAGTGTTTGAATCACCCGCCATTTTTTAACTCGCTTTTCGAGTCAAAATACATTCGATTCTAATCGATCGGGATTATTCGATTGTTATCGATTGCAGGGAATTTCTCTCGAGGGCTTCTCCTTCGATTCTCGATTCAAGATTTCTCTTTCGCAGAGACGCGGCTGTGCATTTGTAGTCTTGCGCTTCATCTTTGAAAATTGAACGGTGCAACGTGTGTCTACGCAAGGAAGATACATATTTCTGCATCGCTTCTCTCTCATCGTGCGACAGGTACATATATTTATATACGTGTATAATTTATACCATATAATTCGAACATTTTAGCTTGCTGTTATAACCTATTGATCAGGGTATCGATTCTGTAATTTCTTCTAAAGTAAAAATGTGAATAAAGTGGAATATTTCCGCCAATCACACATCGATTTCCTTTTAAAATCAATGCGATTGGCGAAAATTGTTCACTTTTCACGTTTCCACTTTAGAAAAAATTACACAATTGACCCCCTGAATTGTATTTACAAGCGAGACATGAGACATATCTATATAGGTTATATACAAATATATAATTTATTTATTTTACTTTATTTTATTTTAATCGTAATGTTATTTATGCAATTGATCTTCTTTTACAAGACAAATCTATGTGCTTATCATATTGCGACAATATTGCATTTTGTTATAGTATTTTTATTTTCTTTTTTCTCTTTATTGCACTTATATTTTGTGGAAATTCAGTGTTTGAATCACCCGCCATTTTTTAGCTCTCTTCTCGAGTCGATATACATTCGATTCTAATCGATCGGGATTATTCGATTGCAATCGCCTTCGATTCTCGACTTCCTGAGTTCTCTTTCGTAGCAGAGAGAAGGATGAGAGTGGTCATCCCCTCGATTTAGCTGCAACCGGAATTCAAAGCGCCTCTATGTGCACAAAACGTGCACATTGAACTACGTAGCCATGTGCACGATGCTCCCGAGTGGTAACAGGCTATGTGCACGGTACGTGGTTCGATTCCGTGCTATGTGCACAGATGAGCGCCAGTAACACGTAGCTGTTAAAGGAGATGAGTTCGAGACCTCGCAGGGCCAATTTTTTTTTTTTTTTTTTTTAGTACGACTATATTTGTCAATTTAATGAAATCCTTTTAATTATTGTGGAATAAAGAGATAAAATGCATTTCTCAAGCGTACGCGAGAAAATCGAAATCAAAAATAATGAGTGCCGTATAAATACGTATGGAATAGAGCGTTATATCGAAGAGCGTGTGGCGTAGCGTTAAGGGGCTAGACACGTACCGTCGAGATTAGAGGTTCGATTCTCAAGGAGTGACTTTTTTTTAATATTTTTTTATTTTAAATAAAATTTTTTTTTACCATAAAATGTAATTTTTACACAAAATAAATGTAAATAACACGATTTATTTACTTATAACACGTATATTACAAAAATGCATTTTTCTTTGCCTCAAAAAGCCGTGAAAAGCCGTCTGTAGAATAGCTGTATGCGATAGGAACTTGTATGATTATCTGTTTAATTAAAAATTATCCGATTTATGTCGTGTTTGGTGTCGTTGAAATCGCAAAAATCTCAATAATCCATTAATATTATTTTGAATAGATAAAATGCAAAATAAAGGTTTTAGTTTTTCACTTATAAGATGTTTATATTTGTGAATTGCCATGGATGGGGAAGCCTATTGTTCGAGAGTTCGGAACTTTCTTTGATGATAGGTCCTCTCGCTCGCTCTATACGCAGTCTCGCTTTCTCTCTCGCACACGACGAGTTGTGAGATGAGCTCGAAAAGATAAGCGGGCCCGAGCGCCCGAGTATCGAGATCAAAGAACGTTCCGAACTCTCGAACAATAGGCTTCCCCATCCATGGCAATTCACAAATATAAACATCTTATAAGTGAAAAACTAAAACCTTTATTTTGCATTTTATCTATTCGAAAATAATATTAATGGATTATTGAGATTTTTGCGATTTCAACGACACCAAACACGACATAAATCGGATAATTTTTAATTAAACAGATAATCATACAAGTTCCTATCGCATACAGCTATTCTACAGACGGCTTTTCACGGCTTTTTGAGGCAAAGAAAAATGCATTTTTGTAATATACGTGTTATAAGTAAATAAATCGTGTTATTTACATTTATTTTGTGTAAAAATTACATTTTATGGTAAAAAAAAATTTTATTTAAAATAAAAAAATATTAAAAAAAAAGTCACTCCTTGAGAATCGAACCTCTAACCTCGACGGTACGTGTCTAGCCCCTTAACGCTACGCCACACGCTCTTCGATATAACGCTCTATTCCATACGTATTTATACGGCACTCATTATTTTTGATTTCGATTTTCTCGCGTACGCTTGAGAAATGCATTTTATCTCTTTATTCCACAATAATTAAAAGGATTTCATTAAATTGACAAATATAGTCGTACTAAAAAAAAAAAAAAAAAATTGGCCCTGCGAGGTCTCGAACTCATCTCCTTTAACAGCTACGTGTTACTGGCGCTCATCTGTGCACATAGCACGGAATCGAACCACGTACCGTGCACATAGCCTGTTACCACTCGGGAGCATCGTGCACATGGCTACGTAGTTCAATGTGCACGTTTTGTGCACATAGAGGCGCTTTGAATTCCGGTTGCAGCTAAATCGAGGGGATGACCACTCTCATCCTTCTCTCTGTTCGTAGAGACGCGGCTGTGCATTTGTAGTCTTGTGCTTCATCTTTGAAAATTGAACGGTGCAACGTGTTTCTACACATCTACACAAAGGAACTGCATATTTCTACATCTGACTTCTCTCATCGTACAACAGGTATATATATTTATATACGTATATAATTTATACAATATAATTGGCACATTTTAGCTTGCTATATAACCTATTAAATTGAATTGTATCGACAGGTTACAAGTGGGATATCATTGCAATCTAGGTTATATATATATAATTTATTTATTTCCCTATAAGCGCATCCTATTATTTAATATTTCAGCAATATTCTAGGCGTATTTTTAAATTATTTAATATTCTAAAAATATTATATGTATATATAAATATATAATTTATTTATTCCCCTATAAGCGCATGATATTATTTAATATTTAAGCAATATTCTAGGCGTATTTTTAGATTATTTAATATTCTAAGAATATTAAATAATATCATGAAAAGAATATTATATATATATATAAATATATATATATATATATATATATATATATATATATAATATATAATTTATTTATTTCCCTATAAGCGCATGATATTTAATATTAAGCAATATTCTAGGCGTATTTTTAGATTATTTAATATTCTAAGAATATTAAATAATATCATGCGCTTATAGGGTTTACTTTATTTTATTTTAATTATAATATTATTTACGCAGTTGATTTTCTTTGCGAGACAAATCTATATATGCTTATCACATTACGACAATATAACATTTTATTATTTTGATAGAGTTTTATATATCAAACTATTTTTATTTTCTTTTTTTCTCTTTTATTGTACTTATATGTATATTTTGTGAAAATTCAGTGTTTAAATCACCCGCCATTTTTCAACTCATCTCGAATCGAAATAAATTCGATTCTAATCGATCGAAAATATTCGATTGCAATCGATCGCATCAAACTTCACCTTCGATTCTCGACTCATGATTTATCTTTTGCAGAAACGCGGCTGTGTGTGTTTGTACTCCTGCGACTTCATTTTTGAAAATTGAACGGTGCAACATGTTTCTACGCAAGGGAACTGCATATTTCTACATCGATCCTCTCTCGTCGTACGACAGGTATGTTTATACACATACAATGTATAATAATATTTATCTCTCGTCATAATTGGAGGTTCGACGAGCGTTACTCTGGACGAGGCCATTATATGTATATATTTTCGCCTAACGTCTAGGATGTATATATATATGTATATTACAAATATTGCATATGCTTTCGTATCGCACAATCGCACGTAAGCACGAATAAATAAGATAATGGCCCTCCCTCTCGCCACGCGCGCGGTCCACGGATTTTATTTGCAGGCGTTCGACGATTGAAGATAATACGACTTAATTTCTGCAATGAGCGAGACGCGGGCAAGCAACACTCGTGTAAAGAGAGACTCGCATTGTCTGTTGATGCAAAGAGAGATCGCGTTTAAAAAAAAATAAATAGAAAAATATAACAAAATTAAAAAAAAAAACGTGTAAGATTTTCGCAAAATTAATTTTTTTTCCAAAATTCAATTAATAATTGTGTCTTCCTCCTCCCTCACTCTCTCTTTCTCTCTCTCTAGCTTCTTTTATTTTTTGTCTGTTACGCTCGCTGCAATCAATTACTGCGGAATGTTTCGTTTTCAGCCGACTTATTGTACGTCTGTTATAGTGCATCGACAGTTGCGTGTATAGCGTTGATCGTTGCATAATCCCGCGGCATTGCAACACCATTGTACCATTAATGCCGAAGGCATTGTTGCATCGCGCCTGTTTTTCGCCTTGAGCATTCTTCTTGGAGCTATAAAGGATGAAATTTTAATAGAGTTCCATCGCGATGAGCGAATCGAGCAGAAGAAGATATGAATAGAGCGATAAGTTTTTTCTTCTTCTTCTCGAAAGAAGTATATATCGTCGAAGTAGCGTAAATCGGTATTATCGGGTTAACAATACGGTGACATCAAACCGAGTTAGCCGATAAGTTTCTTATTTAGAACGCGCGCGCTCTACATATAAATCTAAACATTATTATTATCTATCTGCGTATTGTAAAATAACGTTTTAAATATACGAGTAAGAGAGTCTTTAGAATGTCGAAACAGCAGTGTTCTTTGAAACGAGCTATTCTGTTTCTCTGTTCAGGAAATATTTTCGTTTCGGTAGACTTTTAGGTCAGCAGGTACAACACGAGACATTACGAGGCTACTTAAAGAAAGTCACGAATCGTCGCGCAGTGACATTGACCCAATTAAAAAGTGATAAGAAATATAGAAGAATTTTTTTTTCTTCCTCTCTATCTCCCTTTTGTATACACTGTTTTATCTTATAGGAAACTAGGCTAGTGCAAGGTTCTTACTGACGTTACAAATATTTAGAATGTTTCACGCAGAGAGAGAGAGAGAGAGAAAAAGAGAGAAATCACCTTCTTCAAAGATGTCTCTTTCCCCCGTTTCCCTAAAAAAAAAAAAATATTGCGATTTATCTGAAGAAATTCTCCTAAAAAATAATATGTACGTACACGGAGAGAATTTTCTCGTAGAATTTATCTTGAAAATCATGATAATCGTAGGACAATATGGTATTGGAATAATTGTATATACTGGAAAAAAATTAATAAATATTTATTTCAATACTGCCCAATCAATCATTTATTCAAAACAAATAAAATTTTTTACATCAAATGAATATATTATTAATTTCAAATAAATGATTTATTAGGCAGTATTGAAATAAATATATTTTTGAATTTAATCATTTTCTTTTTCATTGCAAGAGTTTCTTCGATTAATATTTATCACAACAAAAATTTTAATATATACATAATAAAATATTAAATGTACATAATAAAATTAATCGAACATATTTTATATCTTATTATAGATTTTAATCGGAGAAGTTCTTATAAAATTCTTACAATGCTATTGTAAAAAAAATATGTAAAATTACATAAATAATAAATGTAAAATTACATGATAAATAATGAAAAGGTAAAAATTTTATATTATTTATCGTGTAATTTTACACTTATTATTTATGTAATTTTATATATTTTTGTGTAATATATTACATATTTTTTTACAGTGATATATTATCCCATGATTTACCACGATTTTCGGAATAAATTCAAAGAGAAGTTTTTCTGATTAATTTTTATATCTTATTGTAGTAAATATTAATTTTTATTGTGGTAAATATTAATCAGAAAAACTCATAAAATTCTTCCATGATTTTCAGGATAAATTCTAAGACAAAATTCTCTCTGTGTACCTTTACAAAGTATCGATAAGCAATAGCTTTAGCATACGCGTATTTAAGAGATATTAATCACAGAGAACTCCTAAAATTCTTGCAATACCATATATTGTCCCACGATTACCACGATTTTCGGGGCAAATTTTAAGAGAAGTTTCTCTGATTAATTTTTATATCTTATTATGGTAAATTTGTTATTGTTGTAAATATTAATCAGAGAAAGTCATAAAATTTTTCCACGATTTTCAGGGTAAATTCTAAGAGAAAATTCTTTCTGCGTACCTTCACAAAGTATCGACAAGCAATGCGTTTTAGCACACGTATATTTATCACAGATATTAATCAGAGAACTCTTATAAAATTCTTGCAATACCATATATTGTCTCACGCGATTACCATGACTTTCAGGGTATAAACTCTAAGCCTAAGAGAAAATTCTCTCTGTAAAATATAAATGACGCGATTTGATAGAGTCGAGGACGAAAGGCGCGTTGAGAATCGAATTGACGGTATTAAAGAAGGCTTAATGCTTTACACGAGTGTGGCGTTCTAATTATAGCCAAGAGACCTCTCTGGCGTTGCCATATGGAGCACGTTCGGGCAGAGAGCGCAAAGGGTTAAACAAAACAGGCTTCGTTGAAGCGTGGCGCTTCCCGTAGCCGATTGGCATTCAGCGAGGATCGGCCGGTCCACCGGCCATTAATTGCCCATTATATCGTAACGTGGGTGGGCCGCGGAGTGCAGCACATATCCATCGCTCCTTCTTCTCCCGTCTGTCTACCTCGAACGTCCTCGTCGAGAAGCGATGGGGACGATTTTCCTCATACCGATGTGTGAACTTGGCCGGATTCATTTCGAGAAGAGAACATCAGAAAAGGTCCTTAAGTAGTCCGCGTGCAAAAGTATACCGTGTCCATCTTTTTATAGAATCTTTCGCGGTTCTCTTCCCTTCGGATATGTATCTTCGAAGAGAAACCTGTTTCGGCGCACGTCATAGTTTTCACCGGAACGCGGTCTTCAAGGTTTTTATCTGTCGATGTCGACTCGACCCCATCGCTAGCAACCGCATAAATATATATGTACATATATATACGGAGGAGGCAAAGATTTAATGGTGTAGCAGTCGTGTCGTCGGTCATCGCGTGTATATATTGTGTTTCAGCGGCCGTGCTCACGTGACATAGGATAGATTTGCGTCATTGGTGACCTCCGCGCGTTCGCTCTGCGGGCACGCAGACTATGTAGCGTGCACGCGTACACGCGTGGGATTGTCGACGAGAGAGAGAGAGAGACCGAGACGGAAGTCTTTTCAAATGTTTTCTCTTCTTCAGGGACTCACTTTTCTCACAGTCAAAAATTTTAATTTTTGTATTATTTTATTTTATTTTATTTATTTGTTGTATATATATATATATATATATATATATAAAAACTGTGTTTTATATTCACACAATGTATGCATATATCTAAAAGACATCCAAGAAATATCTTGAAAATATTTTAAGCAATAAGATTTTTTTTAAATGTCTTTTACTGTAAAAAATATGTAAAATTATATTAAAAAGTATGTAAATTTATATAAATTACGTGATAAATAATGAAATGGGATACATTTTCATTATTCATCGTGTAATTTCACACTTATAATTTATGCACTGAAAAACTTATTGAATTCGTATAAGTATTTATTTCAATGCTGTCAAATAAATTATTTATTTGCAATGAATAATATTGATTTAATGTGAAAAATATGTATTTGATAAAAAAAAATCCTTTTCAAAACAAATAAATATTTATTAATTTAACAATTTTTTTCCGGTGTGCAATTTTACATATTTTTGTGTAACATAACATATTTTTTTTACAGTGCATACCATTTGGGATATAAATTATATATATGCAATAGTAGTTTGCTGATGCAAATAGTAATAAGTATAGTCAGGCTATTTCCTTGAAAATTTCGACATGCACAGTTTACGTAGCAGTTCATCGACCCGAACGCGATCATTGCAAAAATTTCCACGTTTAATAATATCTATTTGCGCCCCTCATTAGCGCCTTCGCGAGATCCTCTTCGTCTCTTCAGCATCGAAAGGAGCGCAAATTTTCGGGAGCAGTTCGGGTCTTTCGACATCGTATTGCCGGATTCGCATATCGCGGTTCGCGAAACATCCGTGAAAGAAGGCCGGTGAAAGAGACAATGGAACATTGTCGAGAAAAACAAGGAAAAACCGGTCGACGTCAATGCGGCTGTAATTGTCGCGAAAATGCGGCAGGAATGCCTTTTATTTCTCGCAGCCGTGTTATTATTATTACACCGCATTCGCGTATTTATTACACGCGCTATCGAAAAGTCGCGTATCTATCAGAGACGACAGAGAATTGTCATTGATACCAATTATCGATTATTTCTGCGTGCGTGTATCATGTATCTATAAATAATGTATCGTAAATAATCGGCGTCGCGGTTGTCCACATTCAATGGACAAAAAGAGAGTGGTCGTTTCATTTATAATTCATTATATTATTATTATTATTATGTCTCTATATGATCTCGAAAATTCGGCAAATTGATCGCGAAGAACGACACATAGAGGGGTAAAAACCTGCAGACTTGGCAGGATTCCGAAACCTGTTTCGCAAATTACTGGACTTTTTTACACATCTTTGATACAACCATATCGAAGCTTTTTTAAATTGCTAATAGTAATACGTAGATAAGAATAGTGATAGGCGCGTTTGGAATCGGCATGTTACGCCGGCGTGACCGTTGAAGAATGTAAGAAAGAACATATATATTATTATAATACATACATGTATAAAAATCTCGCACTTCTGCGACGAGCGCACATAAAAAAAAATAAAAGAGAGAGAGGGAGAGAGTCTCATCGCGAGAACGGAAATACCGATATTTATACGCGGAAATGCTTTATCGCAGTTTTTCCGTTGTCGTATGTTCGGATTAGATAAAAATAAAAATAAAGGAAGGCGAAAGGAAGATAAATTTGTATCACGTATATATGTATACAGCACAATAATGCTATGATATAACAATTATCGAAAATGAAGAGAGAATCGCTGAGTGCTTCACGGTTGGCTGCCGTTCACGTAACAACACATTTACAATTATATTCGCGTATACTTGACGAAAAGAAAAAAAATGATAAAATCAGACTTTGAACTCTTTATACGAGGTCTATTCATTAAGTCGGCAATGCACGACGATCATAATTATATTATCGCGGTTAATTAATGAAACAGCCGTCATGGTGGACGCGAGTGAGTTCCGGTCGACCTAATTAACTTATTTTATTTTTAAATTTGTTTTTTAAACACGCATATATATATATATATATATATATATATATATATATATATCACACGATACGCAATATTCTTCTCTTTCAACCTAGGACGTGCTAGATTTTTAATTCTCCAAGGATTTCGTTTTAATGCCAAGCGTTCACCCGATATTTCTGATACCTAACAGAGAGATATTATTCGAATTCATCGTTTGACGTCATTACTTGCGGAACCGGAGAGAGAAATCGGCGATATATTTTTCGAAGAAATAGGTACAAGATACATTTGCACATTTCTACATATATTAATCTAATAATAGAAGAATGCAATGGATAAAAAAATAGACAGTATAATGTATAAAAGTCTGCGGATACGTCTTGGTCGATCAATTTCGAAATAAGTAGCACAATATATATATATTGTTTCTTTTTTTTTCTAATATATCACGAAAAATCGAACGACAGTTTCGCGCACGGGAGATGAATCAGTGAACATATTCGCGACACGGTACATCCGACATCGCGTCGTTATCGCGTTATTGTCGCTCGCGTGTGGGCGTGTACTTGTCCAAGGACGATTCGAGGAGCGAAATCGCGCTCGATTAACGCTAAGAGGGAGCAATCTCGTTAAAGATGCTTTATTAAATTATATCTTGGACCGAAGTGTTGCTCTAACGAAGGCCTCGAACGCGGAAAACGCTCGACAGGATGTCCAGCGATCAGGGAAATCAGGAAAACCGGGATTGCATTGTCAGGGAATTTGAGAAATCTGGAATTGTCAGGGAAAAAGTTGTCAGGAAATTTTATTATTTATCTGGATTTTTTCACATTTGTCTCAATAATTTGAAACTTCTTATTAAATAAATATAAACTTTTCCTTGACTCATATTTTCATCGTCGTGTTATTATACTTCAATGTGTTTCATAGAAATGAAACTAAAAAATTTGATATAATATAAATAAAAAAGGTGATTATTTAAATAGTTTATAGTGACGTGTTTGTTTCGATTATCGTACATAATGCAGATTGAATAATTGATTTAAATTTGTGTTTCTTTAACTTCTCAACCTTTTTATTGTCGATAAAAATATCTCAAGGATTTCATGATAACATTTCATTGATTTATCATGCAAATTATATATTTGGAAAAAATAATACACTAAAAAAAATCAGGGAAAAAATGAATTTTTGGTCTTGGAAAATTTGAAAAAGTCAGGAGATTTGTTTCATTGAGTCTGCTGAACATCCTGCTCGATGCTTCGTCAACTTTTCGCCCGCACGGGAATGTGTTTTGCATTTTGCGTATCGAGAGAAATACGATTGACAAATATGCATCGCATTAACTTAGATTTTATGTAGACCCGTATACAAGATTCGAAAAAGATCTCGAAAGATGATTCGCGAAATCATTAATTAAGCAATCTATATCCGCGCAATTTTCTTAATTAAGTCTCGGAATTAATACATCTAATTGCGCTTCTTTAGATAAATCGCAGCAGAAGAGTATGTAATATTAACGCCATTAATGATGCAAGTAATAGGTGAGTTTTTATATTATGTCTATTTATATACTTTACCGTTTCCGATTTTTTTTTCTTCAATTCTCACTGAGACTCACGTTAGTATGTTTGAATTTCTTGTGATCAGATGAAGCCAGTTGCCTTGTAAAATAAACGATGCACGTGTTCATAATACATGTGCGTTAAAGCTTTCGCTTGTCAATACTTTGGAAAGGTACACAGAGATAATCCTCTCCTAGAATTCACCCTGAAAATCATGGTTAGATATTTTATTAATGATTAATATTTACCACAATAAAAAATATTAATGTGTACATAGTAAAATTAATCGAACATATTTTATATTTTATTGTGGTAGATATTAATATTTTTATTGTAGCAAAAATATTATAATTAATAATTTAATATTTTATACAATTTTATAAAAATTTCCCTGATTCATATTTTTGGCACAATAAAAAATATTATTTACCATGTATGTACATAGTAAAATTAATCGAACATATTTTACATCTTATTGTGGTATTATAGATGTATTAATATTTTTTATTGTAAAAATATGAATCAGAGAACTTTGTATAAAATTCTTTAATACCATATTATCCGACGATTACCATGATTTTCAGTATAAATTCTAAGAGAAAATTCTCTCCGCGTAAATATTAAGTATCGAAGAAACAGAGCGAATGGAAAATGTTGTCGGATATTTATGTTTTTCTTTGCGTTTATGTATATTAAACATTCCCGTTGCCTTTTCATTCATGTTGCACAAGAGTTTTCTTTCATTTACCGTTTTACGAGAAGCGAATGGCTTGAATCAAAGTCCCGTTCGCAATCGTTTGCATCTTCCAAACTTTAACAGCAAACATTCTCATTCGCTGTTTATATACCCATATCTTGACACGTCTTGTATGCGGCTCTAATAAAACGCGATTCTTGCATCGTTCTCGCGTCATATTAAGATATCTCTGACGCGCGCGATTTTGATACGCGACTTTTCGATATATATACGTAAAATATTCGTTTGAATTTACAAGTTCTTGCTACGAGGAAATGACACGAATAACACATTCGCACCTCGTATTTTCGCAGTCAATCGTCACTTTCTCGCGACATCCGAAATAAGGATCAGGATCCATCTCTCGTGCTCCTCCGCTCCGATAAAATTCCTAGAAATTATGACGTCAGTCGTGATTGCGATTTCTCGAAAATTTACGAAGCAAAACGCACTTGTAAAAAAAAAAAGAAAAGAAAAAAGGAAAAGATAATCGGACGTCGACTTTCTCCGTGATAAACTTCTCCGATTTACGTCAGCGAATATACAAAGAAACGCAGAACCGCAGATGCCCAGGAATCATGCGAGATAACGGCATTGATCGACCGGGATATTATATACGGGTTGTTGAAAAAGGCTTACATCCATGAGCATCTGCATTTACCCCCTCTTGGAATCAGTAAGAAAAATTAAGCATTTGCTCTCCTTTTGAATGAACACTGGAATTTATTTGTATTTTATATAAAAAAATTAAAATTACAAAAATAAATTTTTAAAACTAAAAAGAATAAAAAAAAAGAAATAAAAAAATGTTAATCAGGCCCCTTCCTGGAAAAAATCCTGCGGACGTCCATGCTTACAAACAAACGATCGTCTCCGTCGAACACGCAATATCGATGTAAATTCGCCAAGATTTTTCGTCGAAAAAATAAAAAAATAAAAAAGAATGACACGTCCTATTTCACATCTTGACGCGCTTTTTGACGTTTCCGGGAAACGCAGGTATTTCTTAATGAGATCTCCATTCTGATTCATCGGCGCGATCGCGGGCGTATTATGTATTTTAATGTACGTAACCGGAAGTGAATCAGCGATACGTGAATTTTCCCACACACACGGTACGAATTCTGAAAAGCTCGGTTCTTACCAGATGGAATAAGAATGATTTACGTCAAGCTCGAAAAATGTTAAATAGATCCGGCATCCGGCGGAGACTTCTCGCATCATATTCAGGGAAAAACATCCTGGTCCGATGACTTAATCGCGCAAAGATGCTAGCAGCTTTTTGCGAAGCGTGCGAAATAGGATTGCGGGAAAGAATCGATCGGAAAATTTGCAACTTCGTCGAAACAAATTAAATAAAAAAGTCCCTCTTTTTTTCTGAAAAAAAACTTAATTTTTTTACGAATCGAAATCCGGAGCGCGATTTAAATATAATTTGCCAAGATTGCGCAGAATTGTCGGCGAAACATAGATATAAATCAATTGTCAATCGTAATTGCAATTGCAAGACAATTTTTCTATTTTTTTCTCTTTTTTCTTTTTTACATACATATGCATATCTATAAAATATGAGGAAATGATATGCAAAAATTGAAAAGAGGAAATAAATGAGTTTGTGTGAAAACCTGATATATTAATGTATAATGAAATAAAACTTCGAATAATTAAAAATTAAAAAATAAAAATGTGCATAGTAATGTCGATGTCGAGCTAAAGATCACATATGAATGTATTAATTAATTTTAAAATTATTTATATTAATTCAGAATAAACAATAATTATACCAAATAGACGCGACATTCTAAAAAACTCCATACAGTATAATTTTATCATATTTTTCAGATTAAAAAAAATTATAGATGTAAGAGACAGAAGAACATTTCGTTTAATATTTATATTTAATAACTGATCATATATATATATATATATATATAATTATATCTGATATCATTTAAAAATAGTAAAAAAAAAATATCTAATTGATATTGATTTCATTCTAAAAAAATGTGTTTACTCATTGCCAGTATAATATAGAAATATAGATAAAGTATATCGATAATTTTTGAAATCGATATATCGATTAATATCGATAAAAATGTCCGTAGGAAGAGCGCAAGCGACGAGCGACCAGGATCCCTCGTAGGACGAGCTTGAAAAAGGGGGTCCGATTTATTTTCGCAGCCTCCTCCTAAACCGCAAACTGCCAGCAACTTACATCGAGTACTCGGCGGCCGGAGAGAGGGAGAACACAGCGATAAAACTACATTCGCGCTCTCTCGTCGCTCAGTGCTACTCACGGTGTACATACATACGCATCGCTTAGTGACGTCAGAGTCTGAAAAGGCTGACAGCGCGCTGCTCCGATCTCGAGCTCGAGCGCGGCGAGTAGCGGCGAGTATAGCGGACGACGAGGAGGAGTCGCGCGCAGAAGCGGTGACGCTGGCTCGAGGAAGCGAGAAGGAGAGCAGGAATTTCTGCCGCGGAAGAAGGAGGACGGATCATACGCGCCGACGCTGACGGAAGCGAGAGAGAAGAACGGCTAAGCGGGGGCTCCTCGTTATAATGCAACGGGAGCGACGAGGAGAGGAACGTGGCGAACGGCCAATCGGACGTAGGGCGTAGGTGTAGGTCTCGCCTCGAGCCGCATTCGTCATCGGCATCGGCCGGCGACGAGCAGGACAGAGGTACGCGCTCGATGGAGGTTAGGTACGTGCGAGCCAGAGGCGATAGGGTTGAGTGCCAGAACTGTCAGTGCTGCGTATCGTGAAGCCACCGAGTGCGAAGCCACCACCTCGTTCACTCTAAACGGAGTCGGGAAAATGTCAAGCAGCGTGTGCCACGCGCCCCTGCCAGTCCGAATGGAAGCGTTCACCACGAGGCTCTGCCTGCGTGCGGTCGACCAGTATGAGCGGCTTCTTCAGACGCACTTCAACAAGGTATACCCCATCTCCGAGTTCTCGCCTCGAGGGACGAAAATGCGACGCGTATCACCTAGACCTAAGTTCAACGCGCGATTCGGCCATTGATTTGCGAGTGTCAATGGAATGTGAAATATGAGATAGGACGTTACGTTGCGCGCGCGCGCGCGCAGCTGTTTATATATGCTTTGGATTATAATTATAAATCGCGACACGGCGAAATCCTATCGTTAAACAAAATATTTGTGCCGGGAAATATTTTGCCGCGTCAGTGTGTATTTATACCTATACATGTATGTGTATGTTAATTATACGTGCACACACATATACCGTACACATGTACACATGTAGAAAGCTGACGAGATTCAAACGTGCCATCCAACACCGATTCGAATCGTTCGACTACCCGGTTTCCAACGGAAGATCATTGACCTGTTGTATCCACCCCACTTATCATTACTCCGTGTCCACGATTTCATCTCGTTCGACGCGAACAAACACATATCATGCACGGTGTTCTAAACAAAGATATATATATGTCAACGTGGTAGCTCACTCGGAGCGGCTTAATTCCGGAGCATGAAATGTCTATGTAATCGGTTACCGAATTTCTGTCCGTTCGAAAAGCTAACAGATAACATCACGAGTAATTTGTCATCATAAATATTATGATTTGCACGTATAAAATAATTTTTTGCCACGCGAAGGAGACACACTCGAGTGTATATTTGTGTCCTTTGTACGTGTATGTGTGTGTACATGTTTTACGTGTGTGCATATATGTATGTGTACAGACTGGCGCAACAGGAGGTCGCTCGAGCCAGTGACGTACGTCTTTTTTCGCGAAGCCTTTCGACTTTCTTCGCTACACATACAATCGTAATGAGATCCTCATCTCGCGCCACCATTCTTTACCGGGAGATTCTTACCTTATCTTACGATATCACAAGACACCCAAGCGGATGCAATGAATCATCAGATAGACCTTGATACAAGAGATATACGTGTAAAAAATAATAATGTGTTTTTCATGTTATTATGTGACGCACGATCTGTACTATGTAGTTGCGAAGATACATTGACGCTTTGATAAATGCAAAAAGCTTTTTTCCACTAGTGCGACGTGCGACAAACTAGATAAAAAAAAAACAAAGACGACCACCGTCATTAGCGATAAGTCCGGCAAAATTCCGTATAGATTCCGCGCTCCGTTTGACAGCTCGACGCGCGAGAAAATCGCGGTCCCCAAGCTGGGGGCTCGAAAGGGTGCGCAACCTGGCACCCCGGGTTCGACGGCGATGACCTCTACTCGGGGGTCTCGAAGAGCGATACGCGACTGCGAGAGATCGCTCGAGGCGCAACGGTGACACAGTTTTCGAGCACGGATACACTTGTTACCGCCGAGCGGAACGCCGCGAATTACGTCTCGCTTCGCTGAAAATTGCCCCGCGATAATTCCATGTATGACGACCGAAAATTAAAGAGCCGCGTCTGACGTAGACCCATTCGGCTCCGATAATATCCTGCGGAACCTGATGTATATGCGGTACATTCGCGAAAAGTGGCGAGACGAAAGACTCGCTCTCTCGGGAAGACGCCACGTATACAATAATGTATATGTATTATACGTACGGCGGTGTTTATGCGAGTTATTTTTGCCACAAAAGCCGCATTACGGTGATTCGCGACACGATGAATGGGCGATTAAGGCGAGCGCGCGTGTCCGTCTCGGCCAAACTTTGCGGGCGATGAGAGAGAGAGAAAGAGAGAGACTCGGCAATTAACATTCATTAACGCGCTCGTGTATTTTTTTTCCTCTTGAAATGATGCAGACGTATTTATACGCGCGAGAGACCCTCGTTCCGTCGCGTGCAATCGCGTTTTTCAACTGACTTAATGTTTCATCTGTTTTCTCGTCCTTGCGGGTGGAATCGATCAAAGATTTTTGCGCAATATCGTGTAGATCAGACAGCTTTATGACTCATCATCATTCAGTCTCCGAACACAATCTTGAGTAATTTACGATAATTTTATGATAATTTTCCATTCGCGTGGATGCGATAAAGACATCGTGCAATTTTTCATAAATCGAATAGTATACCTTTAGAACCTGTCTAACGTCTCGCGTTTGAGTCCGTCGTGAAAGCGCCGACGAAGATAGAAAGAGATTTTGTAATTGAACAGCGACTAAGAGAGAAGAGTGCATGTCTCTTGGTGTATTCTTTTTTTGTCTCTGGAATTTCGAGAAACGAGTTACATCAAATGCGCGAATGAAAAGTAGAAGAACCGCTCGCCGACAAGCGACAGAGTAATTAATTAAACAGTAATTTGCATGAGAAAAATGTCGAATCTGCAGGTTTGTATAATTAGCAGCCGCAGTCGTCTCCCATCTCTCGTTCCTCGTTCGTATCTCGTTATTAAGAGCCTCGACATTTCGGTTGGTTCCTCGGGGCCGATCGACTCTATCCGGGGACCCCGATTACCAGAATCGGCCCCGCGGCGACAAGCAACACGCGCGCGGAGCAATTCAAAAAAGTCACTGACGTCAGTAGATAGGTGAGAGAGAGATAGAGAAACCTGCGAAATATACATATGCGATATCGCGCTCTTCGAGTATTTTCTTGCGATCTCTCCGCGAGACACGCGCGAATATCATCAGCTGCGCTTGACACTTATGATTTTTTTTCTTCGTCGTCCTCTTCGTCGTGTCTCTTCTTGCGCGTAGATGAGAGATAAAATTGTGCGATTTGTTCACAACTATCTGGTACGATCCATTAATCGCTCTCCGTGTTTAAACGGTGTTTATGCTCGCGGAACACCGGAGGCCGAAATCACGGTCGAATTATACCGGCGGACCTTGTCGCGGAAGATTAAAATGAACGGCGTATCGCGAAATCGAGCATTCGCATCTTGAAGAGCGACGATAACGCGACTTAACGCGAATAATGATAAACAACCTTCGACGGACGCGATTTCTCCATCGAAAAGCCGGCGGGATATAACTTGGGGATTCAGTTTTGGAATCGTTAATCGCGATCGAAGGGATCCTGTCTCCTCGAGACAATGGATATTATTTCATCGCGGATATCGAATACCCCCGGGTTCCGGATGACTGAAATTTCGAGGCGACATAATGCGACTCACTGTGTCCCGGTTGGATTAAATTCTTAGTAGACCTCTCTGGTTGCAGCCCTCGAGCAAGGAACAGACCCGATTGAGCAATCATGATTCGACGGGCAGCGGCGACAAGGATCACCGTCGGCAGAAGGATGGGCTCAGCAGCGGAGGCGGCGGCAGCGGCAGCGGTAGCAGTAGCAGTAGCAACAGCACATACAGCGCTTTCCGTCAATGGCGACGAAGCACCTCGATGGGCTCCCATAGCAGCCGCTCCAGCAGTGCCGGCTCCAGCAGATCGTCCCACTTGTTCAACAAATTGCCCAATGATCCAGCCATCATGCGGAAGATGGAACAGTTTCCCCTGGTCCTGTCGGACGCGACGATGCCGGACGATGCCGATCTCTCTTTGAAATTCCTCGCCCTGGTGCGTATACAGAGATTTGATCTGTTCGTTATACGGATTTGTTCTCCATGGAAAACTGGCTCAAACGATTTTGCGACTCTTGCAGAATGCTCTGGACTTGACGGCGCCGGCGAGTGATGTGCTGCTGAAGAATCGATTAAAGTCCTGGTTTCAATTGTCGGGTCATCCGGATGGTTTCGCGCCCGCCGGGCCGGGCACCGTCTGGAAAAGGAAGACGGGTGGCGCCGAGAATACGGAGAGCAACGTGTATGAGATCCTGAGCAAAGAGGAAGCGTTGCGGGATTGCATACCGAGGTATGTTTGAAAAGACTTATTCTCATCTTTTATTGAAGTAATGTAGTAATAAACCGTAGACCATGAAAAACTCAATGTGTCGTCATCGTTCTTCGCAGATATTACCGAGAGGTCGAATACAAGGGCGATACGTTCATCGAACTGCAGGATTTACTGTTTGGTTACAATGATCCCCACGTGATGGACATCAAGATGGGCACGCGGACCTTCCTCGAGTCCGAGGTATCCAAAATTATCGCCAGGCCGGATCTCTATGAGAAGATGATAGCCGTTGATCCGGACGCGCCGACCCAGTTGGAGCACGAGCAACGCGCCGTAACCAAGTTACGGTATATGCAATTCCGCGAGCAACAGAGCTCGACCTGCAGCCACGGTTTTCGCATCGAGGCGATGAAACTGCCGGGTGAGCCACCGATCACCGATCTTAAAAAGGTCAAGTCGCACTCGGAAGTACTCAACACCATAAGACAGTTTCTTGGTAGACGCGAGGACACCCGTCAGAAAATCCTTGAACGCCTCAAAACTTTACGAACCAAGGTCGAGGAGTCCGAGTATTTTAAAACCCATGAGGTATTATATTTTGTTTTTTTTCTTTAGTTCTATATATCGATCAATATTGAGTTTTATACGTTCATTCATCTCAGAATATTTTGATTATACTACTTGATTGTAAAAATGTATGACATTATTATTTTATCTTTCATCAGGTAATCGGCAGTAGTATCTTCGTGATCTACGATGACGAAAAGGTGGGCGTTTGGCTAATAGATTTCGCAAAGACACGCAAAGTACCGAACGGACGGAAGCTAACGCACAGACGTCCTTGGGAGGAAGGCAACCACGAAGAGGGTTTCCTATTTGGATTGGACAATTTAATTTCGACCGTGGAAGAAATTCACCTTTCTCCATAAATACTGAATCAAACGGCAAAGTTTAGAGACATTTCTCTGCGCTATGAAACAAAATATTTCTTGTACGTGTAACGAGAGAAAAAGTATTTGTATTCCGCCATTTTTCTATCTGTCTAAATAGTCTTCAATTCAATAGTCATCAATGTCATCAAATTTGAAAAAGAGTATATTATATAGGCAAGAAGTTGACAGTCAAAAAGTGATATACCAATACTTGCTTCGCTCATTTTCTGGTCCTGTCACAAGTTTCCGACGTGTTCATTATTTATGTCATCGATATATAATGTATATTGGTATTTTAACATGAAAGACTGCTTTTTATTGCATTTTGCGCGCATTTTTGTAAGAAATATATCTTGAAATTCGCATTACTCTGTGTACAAACGATCGTGTAATGTACAAAAGTAGCGTTTAAGATATCGATAAGTAACCTACAACACGTGTAAACTAGGCGAAACTTATTTATGAGGAGTGCTTATATACGTTATACGAATAATAATAATACGTTCTTACTTTTTTTTTTAAAGAGTACTCGTCGTGTCTTCGATCGCTTCGTGTGTCTGAACTTGTAGTAAGGAATAAATAATCTTCGTATACGTTTATGTAAATTAGTTTTTCTATTTTAGATACATTAGCGTTTCCTTATAAGAAAATCACAAATTCGATACCTTTGTATAATTAAAGTGTCGTGTAATTAAAACATCTTTATAAATGATTTTAATATGTACAATTTGCGCCTAGGAATTATTCGCACAATATAATATTAAGAAACATTTTTTATATTTTTTTATGATTTGGAGGAAAAAATTGGCGATAGTAGAGTAATAATAATACGATAAGAATAATGAGTCAATAATAGGTGCATGTCTATCAATTATCGATTATTATCGCTAATTTCAAATTGTCAACGTCTATTCTAATTGTAAGAACGATAATTGCATCCAAGTTGAGAACGAGCCAAAAAAAGCTTTACCTTTATCGGGCATTGCAAAAACGAAAACAGCGGTTAACAAGTTACATCAGTAAGCGTCTCTCAAAGTATATGTATATGTATATCACCGACACACGCACACACATACCAAGTTAACCGCTCCTTTAAAAATAAACAGCGCGAAAATCGCGCGGTTCTTCGTAGCGGTAAAGGCGACAGTGAGTAGAGGTGGAACAAATCCATGTGTGTGTATGTTTATCGTATGTGTAGAACCGGGTTTGTCGTTACAACGCCCAGTCTGTGTGTATGTGTGTGTGTGTGTGTGTGTGCGCTCCAACTTAGGTTCGTGTCTTGTCGCGATTCTGTAAACCGAGAGCACCGATGTGTAATATCTGTTACATCGATATCCTAGAAATTGTCCTCTCGTGCGATTTCCCAATCAAATCCATGTATCCATATGTAAATATAAAGTCGCTGGCGATTGTCCGATGCGGAACGCGTAGTGCAGGACTCCAATAAGGATCTCCCAAACCGAAGACGGGCTGGAAGGCAATTCGCGCGACTGTGCGAAGTCGATTGCAAATTCCTCGCGATCCTGAAGAGAACGACAGGCACGTGGCGTCGACGCGAGGACGACGACACCTTCGATCATCGGCCATGGCGACTTCCCGGGACCTGGAGGACGACTGGTCCACACTCCGCCACGACACCGACAGTTGGACGCAAAGCGGTGAGTCCTCCTTTGTAATCGTTTATGAAATATTAAACGATTTTTCATCGATACCAATAATCCCGAGTGTGTAATCACCTCTCTTCGAAGGTGAAATATTGTTGAGTGTGTACGATATTCGTTACGAAAGAGACCACGCAAACGGCTCGTGTCATTTTAATGACATTCGACAGGAATATTGCTGAATAAATTGACTTTGCACATTTATTATTAACGCGTTTTACGGAAAACAAACACGTTCTCTAGAAGAATATATTAAATATATCGCTCAGCGCGCGTTTCGTTTCTCTCTCTCTCTCTCTCTCTCTCTCTATGTTTAGAATCCACGAGAATTGTACGATAGAATCTCGCTTAATCAGAAAAAAAGATAAGCGAGTTTATGATATAGGTACGAGAATTTAATGCCTCCCTCGGCTCGTAACTTTCTTCCTGATTAGCAGGAGGAGGATCCGTTGTGTTGTTCGCGCGAGGAATTTCACGCTGTAAACGCAGCGATGCGATACGACCGGTCGAGATAGACACGTGATTTTCCTTCTTTTTTTCTTTTCTAAGCAGAAAAGAAAGGAAACAATAAAACTTACGGATCGGTACATAGAGATCATTTTCTCTTAGAATTTACTTTGTCGTAGGACAATATTGGAAGAATTTTATAAGAGTTTCTCGAATTAATATTTGCCGCAATAAAAAATATTAATATCTACAATAAAATATAAAAATATGTTCGACATATTAATTTATTTTTTATTGTGGTAAATATTTATAATGACAGAAACTTATAAAATTGTGAAAAAATTCAATATTATCCCACGATTATTAGCATGATTTTCAGGGTAAATTTTAAGAGGAAATTCTCTCCGTGTGTTAATAAAAATCGCGATATGTATCGATAGAAATCTCGTTTATTACGTGCGATAAACCTATAACGTAACACATTACACGCGTTCGACGTCCTCGTGGACACGTCGCGAAAATTATGCAGCTTACGAGCGATTATGTAAGACCGCCTGGTGTTATTAAAGCCGAGATTCTTCCCGTATCGACAATTCTCATTTTCGCTCGCGTGCATTATCGCGCGTGAAAGTGGAAATTCTACAGCATATTTCGTTTTGCGGTCACTTTTTTCACATTTTTTTTTCATTCCATAAACGATACCTTTATTTTGTTTCGAAGTATTAGGTCTCTCTTTTGTAATGTATCTATATTTTCATCTATTTTTGTATGCAATTATATGTTTCATTATATTTATACACAGAGAGAATTTCTCTTAGAATTCATCCTGAAAATCATGATAATCGTGGGACAATATAACATTGAAAAGAATTTTATAAGAGTTTCTCTGGTTACCGCATTAAAAAATATTAATGCCTTATTGCGGTAGATATTAATATTTTTTATCGTGGTGAATACTAATCAAAGAAACTCTTACAAAAATTCTTCCAATAGTATATATTATTATATTGTCCCACGATTACTATGATTTTCAGGATAAATTCAAAGAGAAAATTCTCTGTGTAATATCTTATAATATATCTCTGGAAAGATCTCTATTTATATAAAATATTTGTATTTAAAATTATAAAATATTGCGATAAGAATCTTTCCAATATGCGAGATGTCACTCTTTCGATTCGATCCCTTTTTCGTTTCGAAATTGCGCGAGCAGACTTTAAATGATTTATCCGTTCACCGCGAATGTTTTCACCTATATCGAGCCGCGTAATTGACAGATCGAATGACAGCGATCGGCTAACGAGTACGTCAATTCATCGAAATCCACCGCGCCGTTCATACGTATATACTTTCTCGTCGACTAGACGGTTTGGCCTTTCGCGAATCACCTCGTTTTGCGGAGATCAATTATAACGCGCAGGTTCGCGTGATTTCACGGTGCGAACCAGGTTTGGATTTGAATCCCATTCGCGATGCATCGATGGAGCAAAAGACGGATTGGCATTTCTGTCAATTTTTCTTTTCAATTCAATTATTATCTAACTTTGCTCGTGCACGAATAATCGAACGCGACGATGAGGAGCATCAGCGATACGGACGAATAAGCAAACTCGCGCTTTACTCGGGTAAACGGCGCGACAGCAATATTACGGTATATCGGTTCGCATCGAGTCATTAGACCTTTGCAAATGTCGATTAGTCTCGCATACCGAACGGGAGGATCGCCAGGAAGAAGAGGCGAATCTATCTCGCGCTCGCGAATGCAAATAACGGGAGGAGATGGCGATTTTCTCCGGGCAAATTGAAAACTTTCCAGAGCACGGATTCTCGCTGGTGAAAAAAAAAAAATCCCAACCGATCCTGTCGGTCACGAAAGACGATGAGAGACGAGTATCTATGTATATTCATCTCGCATAAAAGCTCGCGTGATAAACGGGATGGATCGGATGGTGTGAAATCGCGATGATCGTTTTCTAACCGCGGAAGGTCTGACTCATTTTTTATTAATTCACTTGCGAGTTCTCTTATCGGGGAGTCGACGGAAGAAACGATATCTCCGACTCTGAGTTTCTAATATCTCGGGGGAGAGTATCATTTCCGAGAGAGAGAGAGACGGACAAAAGAACAAATCTTATAAGTGGAATTTCCTTTCATTTCCATCGCGATCCTAATTTGTGTGATCCGATCCTGAGAGGTCGAGACGCGGAATCGAGCCTCGATCTCGAATTAGTCCCCTCCGGAATGGTAATTTCTACTAATAACAGGAAGAGAACGCGCGTTCATTCTCGTATATCTTTGCGAGGAGCAGTCACGTCTTCCCTCGAAGGAGAAGAATTCCTCCTGACCCGAGGAATCCTGCGGAAAATCGCGAAAGTAGACCACGCTCGACTCGAAGGAATTATTGTCCGTTCATCCGCGCCTGATTGTATGTTACCATCATCGAATGTATTTTACGATAAGACGCGAGAGAGATGACATATACAGCTATTGTAATTATAGCTGTTTATAGATAATATAGATATATATAATTACTTTTGGAGCCTGGCGAATTTTTTTCGAATAAAACAAGGGACTCTCTCGCTATTTCTCTCTCTTCTTTTCATTATATATATCGCAAAATGATATACGCCTGCGAAAACGTGTAATCACCTTATAGAGGAACCGGCGAGCGAGTAAATATCGGTTACGGTTCAGCTTCCCGCCCAGCTGCAGAAAATGGAGCTGCGAGCTACTCTTATCGAGGAGACGATTGTGTGGAAACCTGCTCCATTCGTTCCGTTCGACCGGAAGAAAGAACGTCTCGTGAAAATATCGCGGTGAAATTAGGCTGGGATAATAATTTCGGACGGGCGCCAATTACGGATCATCCTCGATCCCGCTGATCGCTAGAATTCGCCTTTCTCCTCGTCGCGAAAAATTCCAAATGTCAAACTTCTCGACGGAAAATAATCGCGCAACGACAAATTGGTCTGGATATCTAACGCCGGACCGTTGCGCAAATTTTTTATTATTTTTTTTTTTTACGTCAGGGAATTTAAATATCCGCGTACTTGTACTTTGATACATCGCGTCGGGGTTAAGTTCGGAAGAGGCTGAAAACGGGTTTTACGCAGAGGGACGATTAATTACTGTTCTCGCAGAGGCTTGACGAGTCTTCGGCGCTAAAGGATCGCGACGGGTTTCCTTTTTTTATTTTCTTTCCCTTTTTCACGTTTTTTCGCACGCGCGTGATGACGATCGCTAATTATTTATAGGCCGCGCAGTTAATCACCCGAAGTTATCGCGGGTTATCTCACCGAACGGCGAATAAAACCGCGTATGTACCGTTAACGCGCAAAATTATACCTGTCGCGATATACGTTTTTTTTTTTTCATCGAGTTGGAAAGTCGATTTTTCATGGAAATCGCGCAAGAAAATCCAGTTGGACGCAAACTTTCGGGGGAAAAAAATAAGAGAGAGGGAGATGTGAATGACATCGTTTCTTTGACAGACGTCGCGGGATAAATCGCGGGAAACCAATCGGCGCTACAATGACGCGGAAAAAGAAAAATGTAGAGCCCCCATGTGCCTCCGGAATTAGGCGCGGCGCGGACGAAACATCATATCCGGCGCATAATGAGACGATTTATCCCGTTTAGCGTATAACGGGACAGGCGAATTATTCGCCGAGTATTATATCCCGGTCGGAAACGCGCGCATGAATGCACGCGCAAAGTGCGAGAGCGATGTCAGCGAATAACGAATGCTCGCGGATGTCGTGACGAAAAAAAAAGGAAAAAAAACTGTCGATTCCGTCATTCCCGAGCATGGGAATTCGGTGCCTTCACATGAGAATCTATATTTTGTAACACAATGATCGAGATTTCGTAAAACGCTCGATGCGTTCCGGGATCTTAATTTACATTATAGCAGCAGCGATAAGCTATTATGCAACGTTAAGTATACAGGTGCGAAGACTAGAAGAAACGAGCATTTATACACGGAGAGAGTTTTCTCTTGGAATTTACCATGAAAGTCATAGTAATCGTGGGATAATATTGCATTTTTAAGAATTTTATAAGAGCTTCTCCGATTACAAATATTTACCGCAATAGGAATTTTAAGACTCTTATAAAATATAAATTATAACTCTTATAACATTTTTCCAATACCATATTGTCCCATGATTTATTATACCGCAATAAAAAATATTAATATCTACCACAATAAGATATAAAATATGTTCGATTAATTTTACTATGTACATAATATTTTTTAAAACCGTGATTTTCAGAGTAAACTCGAAGAGAAAATTCTCTGTGTAAATATAAAGATATATCTAAAAAGAGATGTATATTAGAGGAAATTCTCTCTGTGTATACTTAATACAAAGGACGATATATGTGCGACGATGTTTGCGTGCGAAACATTGTAAACAATGATAAGGTAGAGACTTTCTCCGATTTTGGATTACGCTACGTTACGGGAATTAAAGCGTGTAACGGGAGAGAAATATTTCAGAGTAACGAGGAGTTACGCGTGTAACATCGCCGTTAATTATGCCACAAGCAAGCATATGA